TTGTAGCAATCTTTTGCGAGGCCAAAATCGCAAATTTTTACGACATTGTCGCCGGCCACTAAAACGTTTCGCGCCGCTAGATCCCTATGTATAAGCTGTTGTTGTTGTTGTTGTTGTTGTGATGATGATGTTGTTGTTGTTGTGATAATGTTGATGACAATGTTGTTGTTGTTGTTGTGACGATGATGTTGTTGATGTTGTTGTGATGATGATGAGGATGTTGTTGTTGCATCAACATCATTACCCCCACTACATCATCATCCTCATCATCATCACCATCGTAACTATCATAACCATAACCTTCTTGGAGGCCAGATACTCCATTCCTCTGGCTATCTGAAATGAAAAACTCAGTAGATCCTTCTTTGTCAACTCAACATTCAAATTATTACTATTGTTGTTGTTGTTGTTGTTGTTGTTGTTGTTGTTGTTGTTGTTATTCCCCCTGGAAGCTTCATCATCGCTCGCCATCGCGGCTACAATATTTCTTTTCGTTGTCAAAACGTCGTCGTCGTCTTCATCGTCGTCGCCAGCGTTCTCTGGATTACTCTCAATGGAAAGTGGCGACTGAAATTCATCAACGTATTTGTTGCTTGGCGACTGTGAGGCACTCGGCCTCAATATTGGATGCTCGTAATTATCTTCCACATTATTATTTTTATTATTTTCATTATTATTATTATTGTTGTTGTTGTTGTTGATGTTTTTGTTGTTTTTGTTGTTGTTGTTGGTTCTGAAGTTCCCGACTGGAGTTTTTTCTTTCGATTCGTTAGTTTCGCTTTCGTTTACGTAAACGCGTTTTGTAATGACGTTGTTGTTGTTGTTGTTATTGTTGTTGTTGTTATTACAACTACTACTACTACCATCTCCAAATGAGGCAATAGTGACGTCATTCTTAGCGGAAACGCCGTAATTTACGCTCGCCATCAGCTTGTCGTTATTGATATCTGTGTTACTATTATTGATGTTATTGTTGTTGTTGTTGTTAGTGTTGTTGTTGTTGGTGTTATCTTCGTGTATATAGTGTTTTTTGTTCTTTATGAGATAATCTCGTAAGCACCCTTTTCCGCAGTATTCAACGATGACGTAGAAGAGACCTGTGATTGGTTGGTTGGCTGATTGGCAGGCTACTTATAATAATGATAATAATAATGATAATAATAATAATAATAATAATAATTAATAATAATAATAATAAACTACCTTTGTTTAGTTGCGTAGTGACGGCTCCAAGGAGGTTGACGATGTTGATGTGCGAGCCAATGTGGATCATTATCTTGAGCTCTGATAGCAAGGAACGAACTTGCTCGTGATTGTAGACGTCTTATTGGTTGGTTGGTTGAATGGTTGGTTGATTGGTTGGATGGTTGATTGGTTGTTTGGTTGGTTGGTTAGTTGGATGGTTGATTGGTTGTTTGGTTGGTTGAATGGTTGGTTAGTTGGATGGTTGATTGGTTGGATGGTTGATTGGTTGTTTGGTTAGTTGGATGGTTGGTTAGTTGGATGGTTGATTGGTTGTTTGGTTGGTTGAATGGTTGGTTAGTTAGATGGTTGATTGGTTGTTTGGTTGGTTGGTTAGTTGGATGGTTGGTTAGTTGGATGGTTGATTGGTTTGTTTGTTGAATTATTGGCTGGCTGATTGATTAGTAATCATAATTTAAGGTGAAAAAATTAAACAACCAATCACCTTTCACCATTTTTACTGCCACCAGCGTGCTCGATTTTGATTGGTTGACGACTCGCTGATTCAAATTTATCTGGCTGGGGATTTTATCGTGATACAGACGACCTTTCATGACCTTCCCGAAAGCTCCCTGACCCAGAACTGATTCTAAAAATAGATTAGTAATTCATTATAATTAAATCCTATGAAATCAATTATAAAAAAAAGAATAAAAAGAAAGTTAAAATATAAAAATCGAAACCAAAAATGAATATCGAAACCTAATTTTAGCGCTTCTTTTGGAATTTCCCAGGCGGAGTCATAGGCCAAGCAGTCAGTCTGTTCGTCCAATGGCAAGTCGGGGTTGTACTTGTCGTTTTGTGACGTATGGAGGTAGATTTCGAAGGGAGTTTTTAACTGGTTGTAATAATGAAAGCGATGATGATGATGATGACGACGACGAAGACGATGATGATGATGATAATGATGACGACGATGATAATGATGAGAAATTAAAATGACGGTTACGAAGGATAATATGGTTAACTGTGTGACTGCACTGTACGATGAATTATGGAATAAAAAAGTTTGCAATTCTGAAATGTATCAGAATTTTGAATTCTACAACTATATATATCAGCGAAACAATTCTGAAAAAGCCACCATCATCATAGATAAGAAACATTTTTTCCACTCCAGTGAAAAAATTCCAAACTCTTACCATTTCTCGCCTCTTTCGGTACTTCATCAAGAAGCAGATGACAAACAAGACGGCAAGCGCCAGGATTAGGAGAATTAAAATGACTATACCGGCCACTTCTGAAGCCGATCGTGAAGTTACGGCGTTAGCTACCTCGGCTGCCATTATGTAGTCTTCGTCAGCAGCGGCTATTCCACCCAAATCTTTGAGGTAAGTTGGTGTAGTGATGTTGTTGCGAAGATGGTGGTGATGTTGTCTGTTGTTGTGTTAGTGATGATGTGAGTGAAAATGATGATGATGATGAAGAAGAAAATGAAGAAGAGATGAAGAAAATGATGAAAAAATATTTTTTATTCAATCACTCGTTTGTTTATTCATTCCTTTATTCATTCTTACTTTCCTTCACCCATTCGTTCCTTCATTCATTCAAGCATTCATTCATTCACCTCTGTGTATCAACTTGACGCCATCAAAAACAGGCGGGCGGCCTGATTTGTAATCTCCCCGGCAGATTACGGTATAAGTGAACGGTTCGTTTATCGCCGGTATACCGATCAGACCGTTTATAACCGTCGAGTTTGCGTCGTCGACTCGACTTACCGACAACGTCGGTATCGATAATGATGACGCATTTGTCGATGTTGATAATGATGATGTTGACAGTGGTGATGGAGTCGTTGTAGTTAGTTCTACACTGCAAGTGAAAATGTTTTCCGTTATTACGACAGTTAATATCTAATTCATTAACTCTCGCCGCGGTACTTGTACAAGTAAACATACACCACACACACACACACACACACCACACACACACACACCACACCACACACACCACACACACACACACACATCCAAATTGAATCCTTTTTCAACAACTTTCAAAAATTTACCTATCAAATTTTGGCTCGCCGTCAACAATTTCAGCTATCATCATTCTTAACTCAATGATCTTGTCGTTGCTGACGCTACTACCACTACTACCACTGCTACTACTACTACCACTACCACTACTACTACTACTACTGCTGCTGCTGCTGCTGCTGCTACTACTACCGTTAATATTATTGTTGTTGTTGTTGTTTTTGTTGTTGTTTACGGTGATGGCCGAGCATGGTACTAAGACTTCAGAGTTGGGCGATACTCGTCGGTTTTCTTTGGCTTTGTTGTATCGGATACCGAACTCTTTCATCGAATCTTTAGTCGTGATGATGATGATGATGGAGTCAGTGATGATGATGATGGTGTCAGTGATGATGATGACGGTGGTGGTGTCAGTGATGATGATGATGATAACTGTGATGATGAGAGTACTGATGTTGTTGTTGATGATGATGATGACACTGACGATGATGATGGTGATTGTGATGATGACGTTGATGATAAAACAATATAGCTAACTAAATATGTAAAGATAATGATATGCCCTATCAAGTGCATGTGTACTCTTCAGAGTGCAGGAATACTTGCCTGATTGGTTGGAGTGCGGATGCACTAAATATTTGAAGTCATCTGATTGGAGATCTGTTAACTGGTTGGTCGATTAGATGGTTGATTGGTTGGTTGGTCGGCTGATTGATTGGTCGGTTGATTGATTGGCTGGTTGGTTGTTTGATTGGTTGATTGGCTGATTGTTTTTTGATTGGTGGATTGGCTGGTTGTTTTTTGATTGGTTGATTGGCTGGTTGTTTTTTGATTGGTTGACTGATCTACTGATTATTTGTTATAAATTTAAATGTCAATCAGTAAATTTTTAAACGTTAAAAAATAAACAACCCAACAACAAAACCGACCCGCACAACTTCATCATCTGCCAAACTGACCCACCCATCGTCATCATTATCACCATCTTGTCCACTACCACCGTGGCCACCACCACCACCACCATCGTCGTCGTTGTTGTCGTGGCTGTCGAACGGTTTGAACCGAATAGTGAGAGTCGGTTTCGGTATACCGTAGTGGCCGCTGCAGTAGATCTTATCCGGGTTTTGTGCCGGTCGGTTCTTGTCGGTAAAATCGCCAGACGCATGCTTCGTCGTCCATTTGTATTGGTCATTTCGGAGGAAATCTATTCTAGATGATTCTAATGGCGATGATGATGATGATGGTGGTCGTAAATCAATCAATCTATCTATCAATCAATCAATCAATCTATCTATCTATCTAACAATCAATCAATCAATCAATCAATGCGCTAATCAATTTTCATTCATTTAACCATTAATCCATCATCCAATCAACCCCCTAACCTGTCACCAGAAACTTAAAATAACCCATAATGGTTTTTGGCGTTTTGTTGTTATTATTATTATTATTATTGTTGTTGTTGTTGTTTGGCTCGTCGGGGTCATAAGCAATTGCCACATAATGTCCAGCGTCTTGCTGGTTAATTTTTTCTATCGTTAAACTGGCCCGACCGATGTCAGAGGTTATGTATTTGTTGTTTCTGGATGGGATGATTGATTGATTGACTGATTGATTGATTGATTAATTGATTGACTGATTGATTGATTAATTGATTTAAACGATTATTAAAAACCGATTATCAACTAACTCGACTCGGTATCTCGGATCGCTCATATCGATTTCATGATATTCGCGAATATCCAGAGCATCCTCATTAATGTTACTACTACTACTGCTGTTGCTACTACTACTACTACTACTACTACTACTATTCTTTATTTGGTCGGCGTTATTTGAAAAATTTCTTTTCATCCAAACGATGTAAGGTTTATACTGGGCCGAATAATTAGTCTTCAACCTGATCTAAAATTTGCATAATTTATGTTAATTTATTCAGAATTTATTCACCTATTCGTGGTTTTGATTTACTCAGACAACGTTAATTTTACGTTGTAATTTTTTTTATAAAAAATTTTAATTGAAGCAAATTTATGTTAATTTATTCATAAAATTAATTTATTCATAAAACTACCGTATGGGTTATCCCAGACACAACCACGTGACGTTGATCTGATGTCATATTTACATTAAGGTCATCTGATGAAACGGATGAATAGAATAAAATAACCTACAACAACAATAACAACCACAACAACAACCACCACAAAAACAACAACAACAGCCACAACAACAACAACCACAACAACAACAACGAAATACCAACCGACTACTAAGATGGTTACATTCGATACTTTGTAGCCGGTTCCGTCCTTTGGACCGACCCGACAGCGAATCTCGAAGTTTTCATGGGAGAGCTCAGTGAAGAGTATCTCAAATTTTATTGTGGTTTCCAAGAGGTTGATTGTTTTTTCAATAGTTGACGGTTTGGGGTATCTGGCGGCGTTTGGCGAGCCCTACATAGAAATAAGAATAATATTAATAATAATAATAATAATAATAATAATAATAATAATAATAATAATAATAATAATAATGGGAACATCTTTTATTTTTCACCATAAAAAACATACAATGATAAAAAAATATATGTATATATATATATATATATATATATTGATAAAAAAAATATATGTATATATATATATATATATATATATATATATATATAAGTTAATGTTAATTAAATAATGTGCAATGATGAAATTTTGTCATAAATGATAAAAATAATAATAATAATAATAATAATGTAGAATGTATGTTGTAGAATTTCTTGGACAAATTGCATAACTTCTCATAAAACCTGTGGAAATAACAGTAACGATAGCGACCTGAAAAACCCAGAACACATCAAGACTGTCGGAAAAGTCACTTCTCACTTCACCACTACATTCCACGCGTATCGATTTCGGTTTCGAGTCGGTACCGGTACGGCCGGTATCGAACCGGATACGAATGGTTTCAAAATTTATGGCCATCTTCTCGTCAACGTAGGCTCGTAACTCGGGCAGTGAGTGGTGGAAGTCGGCTGTGAGGATGATGATGATGATGATGCTGATGATGATGATGATGATGAGGGTGGCGATGAAGATGATGGTGATGATAATGATGGTTGTAGTGGTGGCGATGATGATGATGATGACGATGATGATTAACATTAAACTAAATAATACTGACTATAATTAAAAATAATAAAAATAATTACTCTTAAGCAATACAACAGTCTCAATAGAATCTTTCCTATCTCCCAGAGTAGCTACACATTTGACCGTGGGGTTGGTTCGAAACTCATTACCGACAGAAGGCAAGTAGAAACCGTATCTCGGATCGTAGGTGAATCGGTCGGATATATCCTGTCTCAACAATTCGACTTTTGCAGCCGGATTTGTCACGGAGCATGGGAGCGTGAATGGCCTGTGGGAGTTGGCATCCGTGAAACCATTTCTCTGCCGGAATAATCGCTTGGGATCGTCTGAATGGATGAATGAATGAATGGATGGATGGATGGATGAATGAATGAATGAATAAATAAATGAATGAATGAATGAACAAACAAACGAACGAACGAACGAACGAATGATTGAATGAATGAACGATTGGGTGGTCTCTATTTGTGTGTGCTTCTGCTTACTAAATGTCTGAGACGAGTGAATGAATAAATGCAAAAAAACTATGTAACAACAATTAAAACAAAATAACAACAACAGTTACGCTAATAATAATAATTATAATAATAATATGAACAATAATATTAATAACCATTATAATAACTAAAATAATAACAACAATAAAGGCAATAAATATTTATCCGACTAATTTTAACCAGATGATGACAATTCATCAGCAGAACATTGAAAACGTAAAAAGTTACAAAAGTTGGACACAAAAAAAATTTTTCCTAATTCCTAACTATCAACATAGATGAAGCGAGTATCTTGATAGTGGTCAGTCCCGGTCAGAGATGTGCAGTTATAAAAACCGGTATCAGTAATGGCGACTCGATATAGGGTCAAGGTTGATCGATGAAGTTCCGAGTCTTCGTCGTAATGGTGGTCGATGTTGGTGTTAGATGTTACCTTGGTTTGTGAGTTTTTTTTATCATCCATTTATTCATTTAATTTTTTGTATTTTTAAATATTTATTCATTCATTCATTAATTAAATAATTCATTCATTCATTCATTCATGCATTCAATCCACCAACCAACCAACCAACCATTTATTTATTTAATGATCTATTTATCTTCCATTGGTGAATCAAGTCAAATCATTGACGAATGCATTCGTCCATTCGATCGTTTATTCATTCATTCATCTACTAACTCCTCTCGGGGTTTCCCAAGAAATTGGAAAACCGGAAGTGCAGTGAATAGAAAATTTTTCGCCCGTCATAACAGCGTCGCCATCTTGGTCCTCGATTTTGATCTTTGGTGATAATTTAGAATCGATCGTGACCTTATCTGGTGAGGATGAAAAGATTGATTGAATGAACGAATGAATGAATGAATGAAACAATGATGAATGAATGAATGAATAAATGGATGGATGAATTAATTTATAAATAAATAGTTAAATAAATGAACAGATGAAGGAAAAACAGAAAGACTGATCTATGCAGTATTAAGCAAACGAAACTGTTTGAATGAATAATGAATGAACAAAGAAATGAACGACAAAATGAAAGAATGAATGAAAGAATGAATGAAAGAATAAATGAATAAATGAATGAATAAATGAATAAATGAATAAATGAATAAATGAATAAATGAATAAATGAATGAATGAATGAATGAATGAATGAATGAATGAATGAATGAATGAATGAATGAATGAATGAATGAATGAATGAATGAATGAATGAATGAATGAATGAATGAATGAATGAATGAATGAATGAATGAATGAATGAATGAATGAATGAATGAATGAATGAATGAATGAATGAATGAATGAATGAATGAATGAATGAATGAATGAATGAATGAATGAATGAATGAATGAATGAACGAAAGAGTGAATAAACACAGTCGATGGATGAATGAAATAAATAACTTCAAATCCAGAAAAGGGTGTCCGGAAAATTCATCGTGGAAAATTCATCGTGGCAAATTCAACGTGGGAAAATTCATCGTGGGAAAATTCATCGTGGGGGAAAATTCATCGTGGGAAAATTCATCGTGGGGGAAAATTCTTCGAGGGGGAAAATTCATAGTGGGGTAAAATTTATTGTGAAAAACAGTTTTTGCAATTACACACCTTACAATTTTGTCATGACGAGTATGCAAACGTGCCCGACATACAAGATTTTGATATTGATCACATTTCCAGAAAGTTTTTTCTTCTGTAGCCGCATCTTTTACGAACAAGTGACCTGAGTCAATTAATTTTCTTTTTCCTTTTTCACTGTACATGAATTCTAGTGACATTTTTACACAAAAATTAGCGAATCGTGATGCAAAAACTACATCCTCATTTTTGACACACTTCACATACAGTATTTTATTATAGACTTTTACTTAACTTACTCAGACACGTCCGACGTCCGCGGTCCACCTTTGTATATATTTTCTATACCATACTAAGGGTATACAAATGATAGTATTAATAAGCATGGATGCTATACGTTGCCTATTGATATAACCTCCAATACAGTATACTTTGTATATTATACGTATATATTATATACGTTATATGTTATATACGATATATACGATGAATTTCACTCCATGGTGAATTTTACCCCACCACGATGAATTTTACCCCACGATGAATTTTTCCACGATGAATTTTCCACGATGAATTTTACCCCACGATGAATTTTACCCCACGATGAATTTTTCCGCGATGAATTTTCCACGATAAATTTTCCCACGATGAATTTTCCGTAAACCCCTGAGAAGACCAAAAATGAAAACTTAGCGGCTTTGATGTTCGAAACGAATGGTTAAATAAATAAATGAATAAATACACTAATGCCTTTGCCTGCCTGCCTACCGATAATAATAACGATGATGATGGAGACGATGATGATGATGATGATGGAGACGATGATGATGATGGTGGTGGTGATGGAGACGACGACGATGGTGGTGGTGGTCTCGATGTTGTTGATGATGATGATGATAGCGATGATGGTTTTTTCAGCCAATCATGGCAGTCAAAAATTTAGGCACAACAAATACAAAAGCAATATCATCCTAACGTACATACACACATACACACATACGTACATACATACATACATACATACATACATACATACATACATACATACATACATACATACATACATACATACATACATACATACATACATACATACATACATACATACATACATACATACATACAAACATACATACAAACATACATACAACAGCGCGCATTCCAAGGAACTTCATAAAGTTAACAGTGGAATGCTAGAAAAGCAGGAGATAAAATTTTGCTACTTTTATCATCATCATTATTATTATTATATATAAAGAATAGTGCACATGATTCGGCTGTACATATACTACTACTACTACTACTACTACTACTACTACTACTACTACTACTACTACTACTGCTGCTACTACTACTACTACTACTGCTACTACTACTACAACTACTGCTACTACTACTACTATTACTACTACTACTACTACTACTACTACTACTGCTACTACTACTACTACTACTACTACTACTACTACTACTACTACTATTACTACCACTACTAATAATAATAATAATATTAAATAAATAAATAATAATAACAACGAATATTAAATAATAATAATAAATAATAATATAAATAATAATAATAATAAAAGGTGCTTTGTCAGACTTTTATAACAGGATGTTTTCAATTAAAGTACTCTGAATGAAAAATAAGCAATAGAAGAAGAACAACAACAATAATAATAATAATAAAAATAATGATGATGATGATGCTGCTGATGATGATGAAGAGGTGGAGGAGGAAAACAATAATAATAATAATAAATGCTATTACTGCTTCTACTATTACTACTACTCCTACTTAGACTACTACTACTAATAATAACAATAATAATAATAAGTATAAAAATAATTATAATTATCGTCATAATAAAGGTTATAAATATTTATAATTATTAGTTTTAATTAGATGATTTTTGATCATTATCGTGAATGAAAAAAAATCCCCGTCAGCACCTCGTTTCATTTGTAGAAAGAAATCTTTTTTAAAATCATCTTCATCTTCACCATCATCATTATCATCGCCATCATCCTAATCATTATCATTACTCACATCATCATCATCGTCGTCGTTATCAGCATCACCATCACACAATTCAGCGCAGTGCTTTATTTATGCTCCTAAGAATTGAAAAAAATATAAGAAAATAATAACAACAACAACAACATAACAAGGATTACAGTGGTTCAGCAGTAGATAACTCTGCTGCGTGAGAGCCACTGAATCGGTTTTGGCGAATTATATGGAATTAGAATCCCAATCTTCCAAGTCTGACTTTGAACTCCTTCGTTGTAAAAGCTGTTAAATTTTTTCAGTCCAGCTTATTCCAGCGTTCACTAACTCTCGAGCTGAAAAATCCTCCTTTCATTGTTCCTACCCTTCCTTTGAAAGCTTGTCCTGGTGCCCTCTTGTGTTTCTACTTTCTGTAAATTGGAAGATTAGGGATGGATCTATCCCATCTTCATCCGTTATGATTTTTATTTAGTACGCCTGAGTAACATCTCCTCTAGTCCTACGCCTGTCTAAAGTTGTCAGTGCGAGCCTCTTCAATCTTTCCTCATATGAAAGTCTCTCGCAATTTCGAACCTTTTTTTCAACACTTTTTTTTGTCTTTAGGTCGCACTAATGAAAAGGTTAAAGGTTAGCCTCTCTTCTGCGCTTTCTTCAGAGGTTTCAACGACACACATAAATTATGGCTGATAGTAAATAATATCATTCATAACTATAAATAATTTAATATAATTTAACAATGAGTTACTAACCGATGCTTTTCGATTCCGTCATCATCATAACCACCATCATCATCATTATCATCATCATCCGTATCATCATCATCATCACCGTCATTTCAGTTGTCTAAAAGACAAAATCATCAACAATAAAAACTACAAACAAATATATTTATGACGTAATAGATGTAATTATTTTATTTTTTTTATTATTATCATTTAAATTATTAATACTATCATATCATTATCATATCGGTATCGGAAATTTTATTGTCATCACTCCAACTATCATTATTATTTATCTATTATGATATTCCAGCATAATAACGACAATGAAATCTTTTTATTTCACAAACTTTTGCTTCTAAGATGCACTGTACACACACACACACACACACACATATATATATATATATATATATATATGTTGGTAATAGACCATAATTTTTACAATATTCTATAAATTCTACCGAATGTTTGGCGTTAATATGTTTGTAGTTCGTTATTCGACAAGTCTTGAACTACCTTCCTTTTAACTTCTAATTCTCGAGAGAGATGGAGCAGTCGCTGCTCGCGAACTACAAACATATTAAGAATATTGTAATATATATATATATATATATATATATATATATATATATATACATACACACATATGCGTATGTGTGTATATAAATATGTTTTTGTATATGCCTTGCTTTTTTCATTGCAACATTTTAGTGCGTGATATATAGATGAACGTAAGTATGTATGTGTAATTGTATGTATGTATGTGTGCATGTTTGTTTGTATGTATGTATGTATGTGTGTGTGTGTATGTATGTTTGTATGTGTATGTGTGTGAGAGTGTGTTATAGTGGGTGACTTTAATGTTAATTTATTGGACAAAGATTCAAATGACTCTAAAGATTTCCAAAGTTTTCTATTTTTCATTTTGTTTCTCGACTTTAATTAACTTGGAACGCCAATCCATTGATCGGCAGCATATTCACGAACCAACCTCAGGCTTTTCTGACCATTTTCCAGTTTATGCGATAGTAGAAAGTTTTAAAACTGCTTTCAATGGTGGCCGAATTTTGAATTTTAAGTAGAAAAATTAATAAAACATCCATTTTCTTTATTAAAAAAAACCATTTCACTTCAAAATTGGAATTCAGTGAAAAAGGGAATAATCTAGATAAATAGACATAATGTCAAGATAATCGTTTAAAAAAATCCAAAAATTATTTGTTGCATAGATAGATCGACTGATTGGCAGATAGATCGAAAGATAGATAAAGATAGAAACAAAAAGACATAAAGAGAGAGAGAGAGAGAGAGAGAGAGAGAGTGAGAGAGAGAGAAAGAGGGAGAGAGAGAGTGTGTGTGGTAATAAGCAACATAATGATGTAAGTGTCGCGAAAATTCTTCATGTAAAAAATTCAAAATGAAGAATGATAAAATGAAAAACATAAACTAAAAAAAACGAATAAATAAAGTCATCACCATGGTTATTATTATTATTATTATTATCATTATTATTATTATTATTATTATTATTATTATTATTATTATTATTATTAGTAGTAGTAGTAGTAGTAGTAGTAGTAGTAGTAGTAGTAGTAGTAGCAGCAGCAGTAGCAATAGTAATTAAAATAATAATAATGATGATAAAATCAAATGAACATTGTTCTTGGAATATGATTGATTAGTCAGAATGACGTCATAACATTAGTGAAAAAAATCAATACCATCGCAATCATCATCATTGTTATCGTTATAGTCATAAACATCATCATCACCATCCTCATCACCATCATCATCACCATCATCAGGCTACTTGTTGTTGCCTTGGTAACGAAGAAGTTTCGGCGCCTCGCCAGCTGTGTAGTTGCCAGATGACGTCAGCGTGTCCACCTCAGCAGCTGCTATCGTTGCTGTAGTTGCTGCTGCTGCTGCTTGGTCGGTATCTCTGTTTGTTTGCATGTTTGTATGTGAAAATGGTGAAAATGGAGATAAGATTTAGATGATAGATTCATTGTTAGTAATATCACATTTAAACACACACACACTCACACACACACACACACACATATATATACACACCACACAAACATATACACACCACACACATATATACATACGTACACACCAATACATGTGCAAACAAACCCCAATGTAGGCAGTAAGGAGAAAGATTTATTTATGAAATTCTTAAGTGGAGTAAAATCAGCCATCGTGAATGGCTTAACGTTCAGCAAGCCCCGTCTATTAGTATCATTTCCCTTGCTCTGATTGGTCAGCTTTTCATTTCCTTTTCCCTGATTAGTTGATTTAAGTTGCTTGGGCGTAGCGTGAATGACCAATGGGCTGCTACATTTCGGGCACTGTTCTTTGATGTATTGCTGAACTGGTTGGTTGAATAATTGATAGAACGATCACTTAATTGATTGATTAATTGATTGATTAATTGATTGATTGGTGGAATGGTTGATGGAATGAGTGTTTAATTGATCGATCGATTCACTGACTGATTGACAAATGTATTGGATTTTAAACAAATCACTTGAAATAAAAATGTTACTGAAAACTCAGCTGACTAAAAAAAGTTTCAATCATTAAACCAACCAACCAACCAACACCTCAATCAATCAATCAATCAACCAACCAATCATCCAACCAATCAGCCAACCGACCGAGAGCAATCTTCGTGTTCGTCTTCAGTTTCGTTTCGTTAACGACCACCTTTTCGATATCGGCGTTCATCAGAGTCACGTGATCCTCGAACACGTGACCACATTTCAAACATTCCATCTGGCGGAAAAATTATGGCGGGAAATTTATGGCGGGAATCATAATAATAATAATAATAATAATAATAATAATAAGTTACCATATTCTTCCTGTCTTGAACTTTCATAAACCTGGAAACATGCTCCATGAATTCCTTAGTGGTGATGATGATTATTATTATTATTATTATTTATATTATTATAATTATAATTATTATTAAAAACATCATTATAATAGTATATAATATAATATTTATATAGCGCTTTTTAAAATGAAATCTCAAAAAAGACAACTAACTAAACTATAAAGTAGTCATCACAGTCATCACAGCTACCCAAATCATCACTACCATCATCATCATCATCATCAGCAGCAGCAACAGCAGCAGCACATAACCCTCACTTACGTTGCAATCCTCCTCTGAGACCAGCAGCACTCTCTCTCTCCTCATCTTCTGCAGAGTATCGAACTCAATCTTGACGCAAACGCCACTATCTTTGACGTCACCATCATCAAAGTTACCACCATTTTTAGCATTACAGCTATTAGGATCAGTATTGACAGCGTCAGTGGCAGCAGTAGTATTTTTAGAATCTACGGGTTTTCCCAAAATTACTGATTTATTTATAACTTGAACTCTTTTGACGCCTCTGAGGTCAAATTTGTCCTCTATAAGACCTAGGGGCTTTTTCTTGGTGTAGTATAACCAATGGTCGATAATTACACAGATAGTGATGAATGGCGAGAGGTGATATTTTAGAGATAATGATGACAGTTGTGAGGGTGTTGTGATTGACGGTGATGACGATAGCATCTGTTCGGCTGTCGATGATGTGGCAATGGCTGGCGACGACTGCAGACGTTGACGCAACGGCGTTGTCGTTGTTGAAGTCGCTAGTGGGGTTAGCTGTCTTGTGTTGTAGCGCAGCTGCTGTCTCGATATATCTGAGTGGATGTTGTTGTGGTTATTGTTGATGTTGTTGATGTTGTTGTGGTTGTTGTGGTTGTGATTGTTGTGGTTGTTGTAGATGTTGATTGTTGCTGATACACACACACACACACACACACACACACACACACACACACACACACACACATACAACAAAACACACGTACACACACAAACATTTTATCGTTATTACTACTTTATTTCAGTACATACTAAAAGAAAAGTAGTAGTAGTAGTAGCAGCAGAAATATAGGTAGTAGTAGTAGTAATAGTAGTAGCAGTAGTAGCAGCAGTAATAGTAATAGTACTTGATTAATATTATTATTCTAGCATAAACTTCAAAAACAACATAAAACCTTTCATGAATATTTTTTCTGTAACTTCGTCATCATCATCATCGCTACCACCATCGCTACCACCATCGCTGCCACCACCATCATCATCGTCGTCGTCATCGTCATCTTTTTCTTCATTATCAGTAACAACAAATAACTTATCACCTTTATTATCATTATCATTAATATCATTATTATCACTTTTATTGTTGATGTTGTTGTTGATGATGATGTTATTATTATTGTTGATGTTATTGTTGTTGTTAATGTTGTTGTTGTCGTTGTTGCCAATGGGCACCGGTGTTGAAGTTGAGTTTGGCTGATGAGGAAAATTATCTTTTGAAGATGGAGTTCCATAAATTGATAATTCCTCTTGCTGCTGTTGCTGTTGTTGCAACTGTTGTTGCTGCAACTGTTGTTGTTGTTGCTGCTGCTGTTGTTGTTGCTGTTGTTGTTGTTGTTGACGAGGCTTATGTTTGTGACGTTTGTGTTTGTGTCTGCGTCTTCGGCCTTCGCCATCCTCTTGGCCATCTTCATCTTTGTTGGTGGATCTATTTTTAGAGCCAGATCTATTTTTAGATTTGTGTATTTTCGTTGTTGTTGTTGTTGGTGATGATGATGTTCCCGTAACCTTAATTTTGTTAGTAATAAAAGAAGCAGTGGAGTTAGTAGGATTAGGAGCAGTTGTGGCGCTAGCTTGACCATTATCATCATCATCACAACCGCCATCTTCATCATCACCATCACCATCGTCGTCATCATCATCACTATCATCGTCGTCGTCGTCATCACGGCAACTATCATCATCATCATCACCATCAGCGCCGTCCTCATCATTATCATCATCATTGTTGTTGATTCTCACGAGTGAGTAAAACTCGTCATAAGAAATTCTACTGATGTTTCTATCGTCATCATCATCATCGTCGCCATCATCATTATCATCATCTTTATAGCTACTATCATCATCGCCGTCGTCGTCGTCCCCACCACCATCATCATGACTTCTTTTATTCCTCCTTTTATTTCGTCTCAGATGGATGGACGGTGTGGATCTGACGGTCATCAGCGACAGATGGTCGATTGATGGCGACAGTGGCGACTGCCTCAAGTCGTAGTAGACGCTACTACACTGATGACGATGATGGTGATGACGACGACGATGATGATGACGAAGATGATAGCGATGGTGATAAGGACAGTAATGATGATGATTGTGATGACTCTGGTGGCTCACTCATTTATTCATTTTTCTACACACTCTCCACTCATTCACTCAGTTTTTGATTCATTCCCTCACTTATTCTCTCACTGATTTACTCATTCATTCGATCATTCGTTCATACACTCATACGTTAACTCATTCATATAGTCAATCTTTTACTCCATCATTCACTCATTTCATTCATTCATTCATTCATTCATTCATTCATTCATTCATTCGCTCACTCACTCACCCACTCACTCATTTATTCATTCATTCATTCATTCATTCATTCATTCACTCATTCACCCACTCACTCATTCACTCACTCATCCAAATACAAAACAATGGAACACTTACTTCAGTATTACAATCGCCACCGGCACTCTTATTATCACCATAGATGATAACCTCGCTGTCATCATCACCCTCGCTCCCAGCGCTGAATCTATAATTGTGGTTATCATTCTCCTTAACGAATGGTTTTTCAATCAGAATCTTCTGTAGCTGTTGTGGTTGCTGCTGCTGCTGTTGCTGTCGTTGTTGTGGTTGTTGCTGCTGTTGTGGTTGTTGCTGTTGTTGTGTTTGTTGCTGCTCTTGTTGTGGTTGTTGCTGCTCTTGTTGTGGTTGTTGCTGCTCTTGTTGTTGCAGTTGTTGTTGTTTAAGTAGAAGATGTTTCTGCTGTTGTTGATGTAGGTTTTCTAACTGTTCTTGGCTAAGTTGTTGTTGTTGTTGTTGTTGTTGTGTATTACTTTCTTTCATGCCAACCACAGCAACAACATCAGATTTAGTGTTAATGTTGTTGATTTCAGCCACAACAACTTGTTTATACTGAGTTGGTTGTTGTTGCTGAAGTTGCTGTTGTTGTTGCAGCTGTTGTAGTTGCTGCTGTTGTAGTTGCTGCTGCTGCTGCTGTTGTTGTTGTTGTTGTTGTAGATGTTGCTGTTGATTGAGTAGTTGTTGTTGTATTTGTTGTGTTTGTTGTGGATCTAATGTTGTCTTTGCTCCGAAAGAACTAGATAGCATGAGATCATCGTCATGATCTGCTGGTTGAAATCAATCAATCACTCAATTAACCAATTAATTAATAAATCAATCAATCACTTAATCAATCTATCTATCTATCAATCAATCATTCATTCATTCGTTCGGTTAATCAACCAACCATATATAGGAACTTGGTTTGGTATATCAGATATAATCCTGGCTTGCAACTTTTTCTTTTGTTGTTGTTGTTGTTGTTGATGTTGTTGATGTTGTTGTTGTTGATGTGACGTTGTTGTTGTTGTTTCAACAGGTGCGTCAAAGTCGTAGACAGTTACTATCAAAGGGTTCTCCTCTGTGTCCAGTGTAGCGAAAAACTGTATGTATGATTGTGTGTGTGCGTGTATGTGTGTGTATGTATGTATGTGTGTATATGTGTGTGTATGTATGTGTATGCGTGTATGCATGTGTATGCGTGTATGTGTGTAACAGCAGCAGCAGGAACAACAACAGCAGCAACAACAACAGCTACAACAGCAACAACAAACATGTTTCTTTTCAGCTTTGTTCAATGGTAAGCCATCGACAGAAATCTGCCAAAATAATAACGAATGAATGAACGAACGAACGAACGAATGAATGAATAAATGAATGAATGAACAAAAAATGAATCAATCAATCAATCAACCAACCAACCAGCCAACCAACCAATCATACATTCAATACAATGATTGAATGAATGAACGAACGAATGAATGAATTAATTAATTAATTAATGAGTGAATAAATGAATGAATGAATGAATGAGTGAATCAATCAATCAATCAATCAATCAATCAATCAATCAATCAATCAATCAATCAATCAATCAATCAATTAATCAACCAACCAATCAACCGATCAGCCAACCAACCAACCACGTTGATAACAGCAGGATGCAACTTCAATACAATCTCCTTTCTATAATTCTTCTCATCATTTATCGGGTTTCCAGCTAAATACAGCTTCATGAATATTAATTAGGTAATTAAAAATGTGTGTGTGCGTGCGTGTGCGCGCGCGTGTGTGTGTGTGCGTGCGTGCGTGTTTTCGACGTTATTTTCTACTAACTTGATGTGAAATGAATGAATGAGTAGAACGAATGATTGAAATGAATGATTGAAATGAATGAATGAATGAATGAATGAATAAAATACCTTCTGAAGCTTTTTTAGCATTTTTATACTCTTAATATCGTCAAAAAATAGCAGGAGATTGTGGGAGACATCTAACTCTCTCAGGTTAATCAAGTTCTCAATTCCTAGTTGATCGGTTGGTTGATTGATTAGTTGGTTGGTTGATTGATTGGTTGGTTGATTGGTTGGTTGATTGATTGGTTGATTGGTTGGTTGATTGATTAGTTGGTTGGTTGATTGATTGGTTGGTTGATTGGTTGGTTGATTGGTTGGTTGATTGGTTGGTTGATTGGTCGGTTGTCAATTTAATTCAATTATTCATCCTCCACCAATTAACCAACCATCCAAATCAATTAACCAATCAACCTGCCAATCAATCAATCAACAAACCTTCCAAAGACATCAGAAAGTTGAAGGCCATGGACAACTGAATCAAACTGGTTAGCTTCATCGTCGTCATTATTCTCGTTGTTGGCGACGATGATGACGACGACGATGACGTCATTCTCATCATCGAGCTCGTGCCAGCAACAACATTATCATCATCATCATCATTAGTAGTAGTAGTAGTAGTAGTAGTAGTAGTAGTAGCAGCAACAGCAGCAGCAGTAATAGTAGTAGTAGTGCAAGGAATTTCTTTGAAGATTGTCACAGATTTAGTAGTGTTATTATCATGAATATTTGTTATCATTGTCGTTGTTGTCACTTTGTTGTTGTTCTCAGTTATGGTGATGTTGTAGAGAGATGTGATGGAGTTGTAGTTGAGTGAGAGGCTCTCTAGTCGAGGTAGGTTCTGTCCGTTGGTTTGTTGGTTGGTTGGTTGGTTGATAGATATGTTAAATGATTGAGTGACTGATTGATTGGTTGGATGATTTATTGATTGGCTGGTCGGATTGTTAAATGATTGATTGGTTTGTTGGTTGGTTGGTTGGTTGATAGATATGTTAAATGATTGAGTGACTGATTGATTGGTTGGTTGGATGATTTATTGATTGGCTGGTCGGATTGTTAAATGATTGATTGGTTTGTTGGTTGGTTGGTTGGTTGATAGATATGTTAAATGATTGAGTGACTGATTGATTGGTTGGTTGGATGATTTATTGATTGGCTGGTCGGATTGTTAAATGATTGATTGGTTAAATAGCTGGTTGATTGAGTTGGTTAGTCGGATAGATAGTTGGCCGGTAAAATGACTGATTGATTGGTTGATTGATTGGTTGATTGATTGCTTAATTGATTGATTGATCAATAATAACAATAACAATAACAACAATAATAACTAATAATAATAAAATAATAATGGTGCACCTCTAAAGGCACGTCAATACGGCTGATGTTATTGTGAGAGAGATCAAGTAGTAAAAGATTATAGGCCTGCAGCTGAAAAGGACGGAAAATTATTTCAAAATAAATTATAGTATATTTAAATTATAGTATAATATATATTTTAATTATAATTATAATTAACTACAGCATCACTGAAGAGACTAACAATAGAATCGTCGATAGATGTTATCTTGTTGAAGGCAAGTTTCAACTCATTCAAACTATACCAATTGGCCGACATGTGTTGTTGTTGCGGCTGCTGTTGCAGTTGTTGCTGTTGCAGCTGCTGTTGTTGCTGCTGCTGATCGTCATCCTTTTCTTCAGGTATACAAGTCGTTGCAGAGCACAATACTGACTGAATGATAATGATTATGATATTAATAATATTAATAATAATAATAATAATAATAATAATAACGAAACAAAGAAAATATATTTTTAAGGATATATATATATAAATATTTTTACAATATTCTATAAATTCTACCGAATGTTTGGCGTTAATATGTTTGTAGTTCGTTTTTTCGATACC